TATACATACAAATAGCTCCTTAAAAACTTAAGATCTTAATACATAATGCGCTATTAATAAATATTTACTTTTACATAACTGTGCAACATTTTTTTGAACTAGTACTATCACTGACCACGTCGCCCGTCACACCGCTGAATTTATTCACTGACGATGCAAATGCCGGATTCTCAGCACTGTTTATACTACCAAAATCTATTGCATTTGGTAACAGACCTCCACTTAAAGGTTGGCTGCTTATCGTATGTCCATCGCCCATAAAATTGTTATTGTTGTTGTTGTTATTATTAGTTGAGGCTCCTAAAACAGAACCATTTTCATAATTAAGTACGTTTGTACGTGATAACGAACGTTGTTTTTTTAAATTAGCCAATGTGGCACCCGCAAAGGATGAATCCAACTGCGCTTGCTGTTGATGAAGATGATGGGTGCTTGCTGTATCTGCATTTACGTATGAATTTTGTTTTTATAATGTATAGGCCATCAGATGCACGATGATCATTTTTAGTACAACACAAGGAAATGGTAGATATATATAGATGTATTTATATATACATATATATTTTTTTTTTAATTTGTTAATGTGGTTTTTAAAGTTGTAGAAAATTATTCGTTGTACATATTTAAAGCGATTAACAACATACAAATGTGGTATGGTAGAATGCAAAAAATGTTATGAAAAGAGAAAAAAAAAGACAATGTGGTTTATTTACAATACATAATTTACATATACATATGTATATATATATATATTTATATATATTTTTAAATGAGTGTGCTAGTGTAATAAATAGTAGGGCATGCATATGAGGCGTTAAGTATCATATTTACAATGCCCTGTTGAATAAGATATAGTTCAGAAAATCAAAGCTAACACGTAATTAAATGTGTGTACATATGTGATGTGTCGCAAGCTTAATGTAATGGTGTACCACTTACCGACAAGCACTGTCACCTGCACATTTATTTTACCATTTGTTGCCTCTTTGCTTGATTGTATTTGTACAGCTTCTGATGCCAAAGTTGCACCCGCAGTTGTCGCATTACGATCTGTAACTATGACAGCAGCTGCTGATGTGGAGCGTTGATGTTCACCACCGCCAGTTTTGTAGGCACTCATTTGTAGTTCATCATTCTCTCGACCATCTGGTGGCCGTCGTGGTATTAGGGAATGCGTTGAATCTATTGCATCAGCAGACTTTGAATGTGTTAACAATAGGCCACCGTTAAGCACCAAACTACCTTGTTGTTGTTGTTGTTGCAGTTTCTTATCGTTATTATTATTCGTATTAATGGTATTGTTATTATTATTTGGTCCTTTACTTAACCAACTAAGGCCATTTTCTGTTGTGGTTGTTGCGTTCGCTGTATTTGCTGTTATATTATCATTGTGTATATTTGAATTTGTACGTAAGATATCACCATTTGGATCTAATGAAGTGTTTGTGCTATCGGGTGCTATATAAACCTCTTGTGCTTGTAACCGTAATCTAGCTTCTTCAACTGCATCTTTTTTGGTTGTTAATGTTTTATCACGTAACGAAGTGCGACGAACCGATTGTGCTCTATTAGAATTAACAATGAAGTTTAGTTTAGTTTATATTAGATTATGCTAAAATTGTTCATTTCTTTAGTTACCTTGTATTGTTACTCTGTGAACGCCTGACACGGCGTCTTTGTGCTTCAGCTAAACGTTTACTTTCCTGTTCCGTTTTGAGTTGCTCAATACGTTCGCGTATTTCTGGATCTTCACAAATATCTGATAGTAAATTAAAATTAAAAAAATGGTAAAATGAAAAATATATATTTTTTGAAGTCTATACCTGACGGCGTTTCATCATCTTTATTTCTCACATTTAAATCTGCACCACACTGTGCTAGCATTTCTAATACTTCCAACTTATTTAAAAAAGGAAAACATTTTTTTATTTAACTATATTTCAAATTTTACTATAGTATTAATACTTACATGTCCCCAACAGGCCGCTGCGTGCACTGGTGACCACATATCTTTATCTAAGGCATCTACATTAACGTGTTGTTCTAGGAGGTATTCGACTACATGAACATAACCATTTGCGGCAGCAATATGCAGCTAAAAATAATTATACGAAATTGAATCATTAGTGGATATGAATATGTTAAAACATAATGAACATGATTAGCCATTGATGTAAAATATATATTTATAGTATCGTGGAAATAACCACAGATTTTCTAAACTAAGCAAAGGTTTACCAAGGATCATGTTATACAGACAGTCATGATCACGTCAAATGAGAAATTGCTGTTTTCGAGATTTTCGTTACGTTGATCAAATGAATGTTGTTCGGTTATAAAAATTAAAAGTTGGGTTTTGAAAACCAAATAAGTATAATTTTGTGTGTATATATAAGACCCATAAGGTAGAGTGTCATGGGCTCGTGAAAATCAAAATTGTTGTAGTCTTCAATGCAAATTATAAAATTAAGACAGAGAAATAAAAACAAATGACAGTTTCAATTCGATCATGAGAGCTGAGAAAGAAAGAAAAAGATAAGGAAAGAGAGCGAATGACAAGATAAGGAGAGAGATAGAGAAAAAATAAGGAGAAAGAGATAGGAAAAAGATAAGGAGAGAGAGAGAGAAAAGATAAGGAGAGAGAGAGAAAAGACAAGAAGAGAGGATAGAGAAGAGATAAGGGGAGTGAGAGATAGAGAAGAGATAAGGGGAGTGAGAGAGAGAGAAAAAAACAAGGAGAGAGAGAGAGAGAAAATAAGGAGAGAGAGAAAATAAGGAGAGAGAGAAAAAAAATAAGGAGAGAGAGGGAAAAAAAATAAAGAGAGAGAGAGAGCAAAGATAGGGAGTGAGAGAGAGTAATAAAGAGAAAAGAGTAGAGGGACAGGGAAGAAAGACAAGGAGAGACAAAGAAGGAGATGAAGATAAAAGTAGTAAAATAAATAACTAACTAGTAAATTATATTACATATAGAAAAATATATAAATAGTGGCAAAATAGCGGTTAACTAATGCAGATAAATATAAAACTAAATAAAGTCACTCTGGATTATAAAAATAAATTTGTCCAATTGTTGAATGAAGAAATATATAATTGCACAGTATCATCAATTAATCATTGCTAAGTAATTAGCAGAGATAATGAAAAAGATATACAAGGGAACAGAAAAAAAATGATAATAAAGAAAAATATAAAGTAGTCGAAACAGAGCAAAATTAATAAAATTAACTATTCCATTAAATAAAATCAATGTATATTATGGGAATGGGTTGATCACTGTAAAGATGGGTTGAAGTGACCATATGTAAAACGTTTAGGGAAGTTCAATATACGCGTCATATAAACTTCACTTTAAAGTAATGTAATACTATTTTACAGTTCTAATACAAATCGGAGAGCGTAGAATTTTTTATATAAGAATTCTATACAACACATCTAGCAATTCAACGGTTTTCAAACGTACATATATTATGTGTTTATATATATATATACAGTTTGTCAACCTTGTGTTTGCAAACTGTATATTTATATATTATTCTATATTATATATTTATTATATTATATGTTTATATATACATTATATTCTTGTTTATATATATATTATATTATATGTTTTATATGTAAAAATATATTTCAAACTTACAGGTGTGGCGCCTTGATAGTCTGGTTCTTCTAAGTCTTTACCACTTTGCGCTGCATCCATTAAATCCCTTAACATTTGTCGTTCTGTCGACGAACGTGTTTCATCGATAAGTTCCTGTGTAACACCACGTTTCGACATTTCAGCCTCAATATAATCTAAGGTATTCTCATCATCACATAAGTCATATGGCATATTACCATCGGTATTAACTGCCAACAAATTAGCACCATGATCAATAAGTATACGCACAAGCTCCAAATGGCCACAAGTAGCAGCTGCATGTAAAGGTGTCCATTTATCACTGTCCTGTGCATCAACATTAGCACCATATTCCAATAATAATTTTAACATTTCAACATTATTGTCAATACAACACTGATGCAACGCAGTGAGACCGTCCTCATTGGCTGCATCTGGTGTGATGTCATGCTCCAGCAATTCCGCCACTTCTTGCATATCATTGCGACTGGCAGCTTCCAGTAGCACAACACTATTCTCGAAGGATATATGCCTCCCGCTGCTATTACTATTACGAAAATGATGTGTTGTGGTATTGTTGCCAAGATTATTCAAATTGCCCTTGGCACGCTGCAGTTTCAGCCATTCCTTATCTTTCTGTCGTGCCACTTTCAACTGTTGAGCGCGTCGTCTAAAATAACAAGTAAAAGAAAATAAAATAATTCAAAAAAATGTTTGCCAACAAATATTTGCAATTGCGATTTGGTTTAGATACTCACAATCTGGCCAGTTGTAAACGTTCGTGTGTGGGTAAATTTTCCACTGTTTGCATTTCAGCTACCAGATCGGCATGCTCCATTTTAAGTTGGGACTTAAGCGTCTCATCGCTTTTGCGATTCACCAATATACCCTTGACCATTGTGCTTTGTTGCTTCTGTTACTTGGCCGTTAAAGTTTTATTTACAATGATTGGTTATGATTATGACGTTGTGATATTTGTATAAGTTCTTTTAAATTTCATAATTGAAGTAAAACTGCAACTTTGATATGTCTGTGTTTATTTATATTTTTGATTAGTAATTATATGTTACTAATTTTAGTTTTATTTTTGTATGCAAATTGATTATTTACATTTTCCCTTATCTGTGTGCTATAGTATACAAATGCTGCCCAATCGTTCCTTCGCTATAACTTGGATAAGCTCAATTATCATATTTCTATTAATTTCTGAAAGTATCTCTAGATAAGAAGATGAGATACTAATTATTTGGTTTTGCTTCTGTTACTTTTCTCTATGAAAAAAATCTGAAAAGAAAAATTAAATATAAATATCAAAATAAAATTTTATTAAACTATTTTTAACGTATAAATATGTATATTAATTTATACAGAAGTAATATAGAAGGCACGTCTAACAGTTCATCACGGTTTTTAGACTCGACAAAGACCATATGGTTAATTATGTCTTCATTAATTCTAACATTTTAATAATAAAAATTTTATATTATTTGTTTTTAAATTTGATTCTTAAAGTCTATTATGACGAAAGAAACCTTATTTCTTAATAGAAACTATTGGTTTAATAGAGCGGTATTTTTGAACAAAGGGAAACAAATGACTACAAAATATTGGTTCAAATTTTCCATTTTACCGCTGAACGAATCGTTGAGTAATATTAGCATAAGTCCTCTGTATTAAGTTCCCAAATAAGGTGCTATGCACAACAAATAATGCCTCTACAAAAACAATAGTATTGAAATTAAACAATTAAAAATAAAAATAATTTTAATTAATTCAATTATTCTACAACTGTTTTATGATTTCATTTTAATATAACACAACAAATGAATTTGTTAATGAACTTTCACAGCAAATTAACAAAACTCCAAAGTACGAACATACGAGTCAACTACGGTTTTGAGTCCATTGGTTAATGAACGCTGACTCTGACCTTCATATTTAACAGGGTACAAATTCAACCCTTAGTTCTACTGTTTCAAAACATCATTTACGAATAATTAAATATAAGAAATAATTCCAAGACCACTGATGATGGGTATTTGGCAATACCTATCGAAACAGCTGTATGGTCGGCCAAAAATTCAATTAGTTAATAAATATTAAAATTTTATTTTTGTACTTTATTTCTTTTTTATTTATTAATATATTTGCAAGTTTAAGTACATCTAGGTGATCCTTGGTATCAAAAAGTTCGGAGAGAATCGATCCTAACTTGACGTCATTCTGCAGAGTCTTTACATTACAGTAACACCGAGCTTAGCCTTTATGGTGTAAACGCGATTTCTTATGGGACTATCAAAAGCTGATTTTTAATCGACAAAAAGGTAGTGAGTGTCGATGTTCATGGGCTTTTTCCAGGATCTGTCGCAATGTAAATATCTGGTGGAGCGACCAGGTCAAAAGCCGCACCGATAAGGCTCATTCATTGAGTTGGCATTTGCATTCAACCTTTCACACAGTATAGCTGATATATAGTTGTCTCAAATCGTCGGGTCACCTTTTTTAAAGACCTGAAAAAACTCGCTTGACGTAAGCTTAGGAATTTCAAAACTTTTTTTGTGTCTTTATAGCTTACTAAAATTCTTTAGAAAGTGAATCCTTAGCAAGTTTAAGATATATTAAATACAGTAATGCTGTTTGGAGAACTTACAGCTGACTAAGATCCTCTAGAGAATATGTTCTTAGCAGGTATAAGGTATATTACATTCAGTGATGAACATTAAGAAAAATAATTGTAACTGATTAATATTCTTTAAGAAGTGCGTTCCCAACTGGTTTAAGATATATTAAATACAGTGATGGTAATAAAGGAGAAACCTTATAGCTAACTCAGATTCTCTCGAAAGTGAGTCCTTAGCTGGTTCAAGATATATTAAATACAGTGATTAATTAACGAGAAACCTTGTAGCTAACTCAGATTCACTAGGTAGTTTATGATATATTACATATAATGTGAAAAGTGATGTTCTTTGAGAAGTTTTGCAGCTGACTAAGGATTCTCTAGAAAGTACATCCTTAGCAGGTTTAAGATATATTACATACAGTGATGGTCTTTAAGGAAAAGCCTTGTGGCTAACTCAGATTGTCTAGGAAAAGAGTCCTTAGCTGATTTAAGATATATTAAATACAGTGATGGTGATTAAGGAGAAACTTTGTAGCTAACTCAGATTCTCTGGGAAGTGAGTTCTTAGCTGATTTAAGATATATTACATACAATGATGGTCATTAAGGAGAAGCATTGTGGTTGACTAAGATTCTCTAGTAAGTGAGTCTTTAGCTGGTTAAAGATATATTACATACACTAATGGTCATTATGAGAAGCCTTGTAGCTAACTCAGATTATCTAGTAAGTGAGTCTTTAGCTGGTTAAAGATATATTACATACAGTGATGGTCATTAAGGAGAATTGTATCTGATTAATATTCTCTAGAAAAAGTGCGTCCTTAGCTGCTTTAGGACACATTACATACAGTGATGCTCTTTAAGGAGAAGCCCTGAGGCCAACTCACATTCTCTAGAAAGTGAATCCTTAGCTGATTTAAGATATATTAAATACAGTGATTCATTTTAAGAAAGAGTATTAACTCACTAATATTCTCTGGTAAGTGCGTTGTTAGCATATTAAAGTTATATTAAATATAGTAAAATAAACTTGCCATAATACATATTATTTAAATTTTGTTTAAACTAACAGTTTTGTTAAGCCAATTTGTTTATTCGTTTATTTTATGGGATTTTCGGTGGCATATTATAAAAATAAAAATATTTGAATAAAAAAGAGACATGAACATAGAACAAATTTGTGACACTCCAGAAGCCAAAATTATGTTTATTTTTGAAATTTCTATCTTAAATGTTAAAAGTTAAGCCTATTTAATATAACAGAGACACTTCCACGTAAACACGTACTGACATTTTAAATTAGAAAACATTGTTCACATTATGGATGTATTCTTCCAACTTTGAAAGTTTTTCATTAAATTATTATTTTCATATTTTGGTTACTGAAGCATCTTATTTATATACGTAATCCAAGTACGTGGGAGGCAGCAAACAGCAAACTTGGTATCTGCGTATTTGCATTAATTATGTCATTATAACAGATACATAAGCACATATATACTCGTAAACAAAAAAGAAGAAGAAGAAGATAATATTCAGTAATAAAATTGATTGCATTTTAATTTGTATTAAATTTTACGTCTTACTTAATTTAAGTTGAATTAATTAGCCTGCCAATAGCACGAACATGTGTAGTTAAACTCACATCCTGTTGACATAAATTCACATCCATGCTACCAAAAACAGACGAACAAACAAAACCGGAGGAACACGAAAGGCTTTAATGAGAATGAAGAAGGAAATAAAATAAACAACTAAGTATTAGCTTACAGATACAATTATTCACAGATACAGATAAACATCCTTATATTGTACTTATGTATACCAATTTCCAGCGCCGTCGTATACCCCTTTTCGAGAACGAATAATGCATATGATATTTATCTTGTAACCTTTCTATTGAATGGAATAGAAATCCTTCTTTTGACATGAACTCTGCACATTTTATAGCAGGACTTAACATTTTGTGTTATCTCTGCTCGGACATGTCCAGTTATATTCCCGCACCAACCTAGCGTTTGTTTCATTCCATTTTATTAAGTGTGAACAATTCTAATGCTGTTTGGTTGTGTGGCTTAGTTTTATGTACTTTTCTGAGGTTTTTATGGCTTATTTGATTTGAGAGGTGGAGTCTTGACTGTGTGACCCACGCACCATTTTGCTGCAAAACCGAAAAGCGAGGGCAGCAAATAAAAGAAAAATGTTTTAGATACAAATGCAGTTGAGGACTTGGTGAAGATAATTAATTAATTTACTGAGAGTAGTTTTTTACGGAAATGATTTTTATTGAAATTACTGCAATTAATTACAAATTTCACTTAAAATGTTATATAGCAAGGATATGGGTTTAAAAAAATAATAATTTAATGAATAAAAAAAATAAGCAGAAACCTTAGAGGTTAAGGTTTCTGCTTATTAAACATTAGGAAAATAAATTGTATTTGAAACTCAGTAAATTTATTAGGTGTTTAAAACTTGATAAATTAATGTATAGCATTATAAATACTCCTTAAAAAATATATATATTGAAATTAAAAGAAACCAAAAAAAGTCAATTAATAAAAATTCTCTTTAAGAGACTCGAAACGCTGTCTTCGGTGTAGCAATTTTATAGTATGTTTCCACTGGCTTCATTAGACAAGTCAACTTACTTGAGATTGCTAAGTAAATTTTTATAACCATAAAAAAACTCCTTCACATGTTATAAGCAACTTGTGCCAATGTAAACGACAACTTATTTGAGTAAACAGTGGCAGCGTAAAGAGTAGAAGGAAAGCCACACGGGGCCATGCTAAATGAGTACAGTGCCTGGTCAATCACTTTCGTTGCGTTTTTGGTAAAAAAAACTCTTGTATCAAAAACTCTTGATTTTGTGCAATCGCGGAACACTCACAAGTATAATTGCGAACGGTACTGATGTAAACATTTCACGTTACAAAACACGTACAAATTTCTGGTCTAAACAGAGTACAGTGTTTTCATAAAGTAACAAAGTATAAAACTGATTCAATATTATTTATATTTTTTATACAATATATTTATATATATAACAGAAATTAAATTGCATTGCATTTTAAATCCTTTAATCCGATTAAGATATTTTTAAATCTTGGAAAGCCTAGTTTTTATACTCACGTAAGTCGTTGTAACTTTTTGTGATAGCACATGAACGCATAATGACATGCAAACTAATCTTAGCGCCTTAGCAAGTACAGCGCGATGGATCGTCCTAAAAATCAATATCAACAAAACGAAATGCATGCGAATTAAAACAGA